TTTATCACCAACTTTACTTTGGTACTTTTCATTTGTTGAGCTGGCTTTGACACACCAAAAAGAAAGAAGTAGAAAAAAGTGTGACATCCATGAAGTGACATATATGGTCATAGAACATTCAGAGCTTGTCAACAACTGATGGTACGAGTAATTATTTTATTCTATTATGAATTTAAACACATAAATGAAAGTTCTCAAATCCTTTTGCTTCTCTAGTCCACCAAGTCTGAGTCTATATTCAACAGATTGTGTGAAGTGTGAAGTTAGTCCTGTGACATCAAACTAGCCTATTTGAAATTGTTTGAGTAATTCTTCAGAGAAACAAACAGAAATTCCAACTGTGACGTTTTTATAGCAGTTATTATCAAACTGCCAGTGAATAATTTTTGTCTATTTTTTCAAATGTAATCGCTCCACCATTAAACTCTAGAAAATGTTGTTTTTTGTTGTGTTTCAATTGAGCCTCTTACACTATCCTTCACTTGTACCCAAAATGCTGCTGTTAAAAAAACTTGGCTCTGATGTCTTTATTTAAAGATCTCTATCATACATGACTTTATCATTCAAGATTATTATATAGGGGCACCCTGAGCAGAGACATGTTGAATCTCCATTGTTGTTGTTTTGTCTTACTTGTGTTAAAGGCTGGAAAGAGTCAAAGCAATACTGAAAAATGGTTCTGATTGACTTTTCAGTTTATTTTTCAATTTTTTTTGCTTCATAACAATACATTGGAATAAGAGTATAGAACTTGATGAGCCTCAGTTGTCCTTAATTGAATATATACATTTATACAGCTTTATAGGTCAATGTCGTTTGTCATTTAGTATTATCAGGGGAACCTGGAACTTCTCCAAGGTCCGTCTTATCTGTTAACTCCGGTACCAGAGACTCCCAACAAGTGTCAAGAACTCGTGAGGCACTTTAGGTTAGGTGCCTCAAGTTAGGTTAACTATGTCAGTGTTTATAGTAAACATTCCTTCATATCCATAAATTTGTCCCACAGTGTTGAAAATTCATTTTGGAAGATACTGCTTTCTAAAAAAACAATTCAAGGGTTTTTTGAGAACCATATTGTAAATGATTCTGTGATCAAAAATAAAAAATAAAACACCTTACTCAAACGTATTAATTAATGTGATCAACATCAATGCCAGAAGACAATGTAGTGAAACATAAACTGTTGTGAATTGCTTGCAGTAGAAATGAGCAAAGAGAAGAAAATGTGCATTTTTGTATGTTGATTGAAATTGTTTTGTTTTCAGTAACAATAAAAGTAAACTAATAAAGTAGTAGTACCCTCATCTATAATGAATAATTATACTGGTATTGGTTCAGTTTAGGAATTACTCACAAAATGCACACAATTAGAGTGCATTTAGGCAAGGCAAGTGTCACAGCTGTCGCTGTCACCCTTGTGTTTCCTCTTTTCCCTGTCTCACCTCTACCAAGTAGGCTGTGTCCCTGGGGAATGAAGACCCGCCTACTTCCTGGTTTCTGGGGTGCTGACATCTGCACCGCCCATTGGTTCCTCTGTTTTCCACTCAACCAATGGCTCATCACCACGTTAATTACCTCCGGCTCATAAGGAGATTCCAGCTGTTGCTCCAGGCAGCTTGTCACCGCCTGTTGACTTGTGTGCCACTGGTATTGACTGCATAGCCTGTCTGTTGTACTTTGTGTGTAGTGGAACTATCCACCTTCAGTGCCTATTAGCTGTACATTGTGTTTAGGTAAACCTTTGCATACCTTTGAAGGTTAGCTCCACATTTGAGTGCAGTGGAGAAGTTCACTTATTGTTCTGTTTGCTATTTTGTTAGTTTCACCAGGTGGAGTGGGTGCTGTGCTCTTTGTGTTTTTTTTGTAGTAAGATTCAACCCTGTTTAAAACGGTAGATAGGTGTAGGCCTCCTTTTGAGGACCTTTTTATTTTAACTTGGTTTGTTATTTTCGCAGAACCCTCGTCCACCCTCCTTTTGTTCTTTTTGTTACCTGTCTACATCTCATGTTACCAATAAACGTTACCTTGTTTAAGATCTACCAGTTGTGCCTATATGTTTATGGCCCCCACACCCTTAGACCAACAGGGGGGTCGTAACACAAGGCAAGGCAAGTTTATTTGTATAGCACAATTTAACAACAATGTAATTCAAAGTGCTTTACATAAAACATAAAAGCAACAGGGAAATATGTAAAAGTTTAAAAGCAACATAAAATACAATAAAAGTTACAGTGTTACAATCAGGGTTAAAAGAGTTAAATGGAAAATAATAAAAAGCTAAAAACAAAGAAAAAGAAAACAGGACAGTAAAAGTTACAGTGCAGTGTAAGTTATCAGTAAAAAGAAAAATATTTAATTAAAAGCAATGGTAAAAAGAAAAGTCTTCAGGTTTTTTTTCAATTTAAATGAACTGACTGTTTCAGCAGACCTGCAGTTATCTGGGAATTTGTTCCAAATATATGGAGCATAATAACTGAACGCTGCTTCTCCTTGTTTAGTTTTGACTCTGGGGACAGAAAGCAGACCTGCCCCAGACGACCTGAGAGGTCTGGATGGTTCGTAATGAAGCAGAAGATCAGAAATGTATTTTGGCCCTAAACCATTTAGTGCTTTATAAACTAACAGCAGGATTTTGAAATCAATTCTTTGACATAAAGGAAGCCAATGTAAAGACCTCAGAACTGGAGTGATGTGATCCACCTTTTTGGTCTTAGTGAGGACTCGAGCAGCAGCGTCATCTGCATAATTATGGTAACATATTTTGTTGGTTTTCATAATCTGAGCCAGTGGAAGCATGTAATGTTAAACAAAAGAAGTCCCAGAATGGAGCCTTGGGGAACTCCACATGTCATTTTTGTCAGCTCAGATGTGTACAAAGTAGTCCCTGTCCTTTAAGTAGGATTCAAACCAGTTTAGTACCGTGCCAGAAAGTCCAACCCAGTTTTCAAGTCTGTCTAGTAATATGTTGTGGTCGACCGTGTCGAATGCAGCACTGAGATCCAATAATACTAAGACTGAAATTCTGCCACTGTCAGTGTTTAAATGGATGTCATTGAAGACCTTAACAAGAGCTGTCTCAGTGCTGTGGTGTGGTCGAAAACCTGACTGGAAGACATCAAAACAGTTATTTAGTGCCAAGAAAGCACTAAGCTGTTGAAAAACAGCCTTTTCAATTTTACTTAAAAATGGGAGATTTGATATGGGCCTATAATTGCTCATTAGTGAACTGTCTAGATTGCTCTTTTTTAAGAGCAATGACTGCAGTTTTCAGTGCCTGTGGGAAAAAACCTGAGAGTCCAAAGTGTGCCCCTTATTGTGCGTGGGCCTCGTCACATGTTGAGTCAGTCCATAATTATCAAGAACACAAAACAGTTCTTTAGTCCCTCTTTCCTGGGGGTTGTCAACATGTATGTTAAAATCACCAACAATAACCACACAGTCAAAGTCAATACAGATTATAGACAGCAGTTCACCAAAGTCATTAAAAAAGTTTGCACTGTATTTAGGGGGCCTGTAGATATTTAGAAAAATAGCTCGAGAAGAGGAATTCAGCTGAAGAGCCACATATTCAAAAGAAGCAAAATTCCCATAAGACATCTTTTTGCATTGGAGGGAGTCATTAAACAAAATGGCAACTCCACCTCCTCTCTTATGCACTCTAGCTTCACTCATAAAACTGAAGTTGGGAGGGGTAGACTCGATAAGGACAGCTGCACTGTTATCTTGGTCCAACCAAGTTTCAGTTAAAAACATGAAATTAAGAATGTGAGTTATTATAAAATCATTGATTAAAAATGTTTTTCCTGCCAAAGACCTAACATTTAACAAAGCTAATTTTAGTGTGTTAAAAACATTTTCTGGCCCACTTTTTTCGACAGGCTGCGGCTGACGAGGAATTAATACTTAATTTGCAGTATATGTTGAGTGCTTCCTGTTTCTTAACACATTCACCATGCTTTTTCTGTTACCTATCAAGACAGGGATGGAGAAGACTACCAGCACACTGGGCCCCGGCTTGTCCTGGGAAGAGTCATGAGTGCTATTTTCCTTGTAGCCTGGACCCAGCACATATCAGACAGAGCTTACTGGGCTTATTCGCCATTGCAGAGTGGGAAGGCGGGTTGTGCGCTGCATTTGTGACACATGTGTCAAACCTGGAGGACTTAGAACCAGTGGTGGAGGTTGACGGTGAGGGAGGTTTAGGGTAGAGAAAATGGGGGTGGAGCGAGGGAAGGAGAAGGATCAGAGCTCTCTTCCAATGGGGGTCGGGGTGGCTCTCCTTCAAGGTTTCTGGTGTGTTGTTATGTCTTCTTTTTGTTTAGATTTCTCTTGTCTCTTGTCCTTGGCAGAGGGAACAGTGCTGAGTAATACCCTATATGTGTAGGATTAGCTGAGACAACAATAAAAAAAATTTTTATTTATCATTTAAATGTTTTGTGTGGACTGGTCCCTGTGACCATGTTACAGCGTTTAGCAACCAGAAGCCACTGACTCAGTAAAGATGACAAAATTAAGATACATGGGCCAACTGTCTCCACTGACACAGAGGCCACATCCAGTGTAATGGAACAGGGAACAGGCAGTTTCCCCTTACTCTGGGGTTAGGATATAGCGAGAAATGATGGCGCTGCAGGAATAGAACAAAAAAAGGGGGGGGGGGGGGGACTTCATGTTGCGTCCAAAGAAGGAAGTTGCCTGGAAGTGAAGAGAAGTTCTCTTTTGAACATTAAAACAAGATTTAAAAAAACGCAGTCAACTGGGAATACCCGTGACGTTATGGTAATTTCCTTTGGGCGTGAGAAGATGTTGAAGCCATATACATTCTTTTGTAGCCTAATTAGCAGTAGTGCTGTCCAGTAACTAGTTCTATTCAATTCAATTCAATTCAATTTTATTTATATAGCGCCAAATCACAACAACAGTTATCTCACAGCGCTTTTCATAAAAGAGCAGGTCTAGACCGTACTCTGTGATGATATTTACAGAAGCCCAACAGTTCTAGTGGCTCCCCGCTTTCACTTGACGACGGCAGCCAGTTGATGGAGGGAGGGGAGGGGTAAACCCAAGCTCAGGATTAAAGCAGTGTTCATTGAGCGTGTGTACGCACTGAGCGGCAGCAGCAACAGGTCTTTCAACAACACAAGTTTCTTGCACAGATAGTTAAATGGCTAAATATAAGCCATGGCTGGTGTGCTGCTTCATCTTGGCTGGTTTACTTTGCGCAGTTGCTCTCGTGTGCATGTGCATCGCCACATTTCAGGACAGTGGATGTCCCAGAGGCAGCTTCAGGCACGCGGCAGTGTCTGCAGACACGCTGCGTTGCTCCGAGATCGGCAGGTAAGACACCTTCAGACGGGAAACAGTTTGGTTTTAATCTGGTGCAATCAGCGCTGAATTTGACCCGAGTTTGGCTTAACACACTGTAGCCTATTTAAAACCTTAAAAAACGTGAACGTTTTTTTTGTTTGTTTGTTTGGGGGGGGGGTTGTGGAATTTTGAACTTTATTAACTTGTTCGTTACCATACACAGTGGCATATTTCCATCATATCTGTTTCTTTATTAATTATAGCCTACTATTCAGAACTGTGTAGGCCACCAGGTTGCACCTTCGTGCTCGCTTGAGTGCAAATGAGAGAGATGAAAAGCTGAACTGAGCAATGGGATAAGCAGTTTAAGAGATTTGATAGGCTCTATTTGGAGAATAGAGATAATACCAAAGGTCTGTGCAGACTGGCCATCGCTTCTACCTATCCTGTTGGATGTGATTGTAAGGAAAAACTGGCTTTCAACCCAACAAACTGATGTTAATCTTTCTATTATGGCTAGAGTAGACTTGGTTCTTTCTCTGATAAACTGTTGCAATGATGTAGCCTAGGTATTTGATGCATTGATGGGCCACTATGTGAACTCGTTTGTTGTTGTTGTTGTTTAGGTTTTTTTTCTCTCGTTTGTGCATGTAGCTCTTCGGCTTTTATTTTTATTTTTTTTGCGAGAGAAAGAGAGGTTTCTGTTTTCTGTCCTCTGCCAAGATTTGTCAGAAGTTCATTTCCTAGTTCACTGCAAAGACAATGTGAGCTCCAAGAGTGAAGCACCGAGCCAACATGTTCTTATCTAATATTGTGAGAGAAACTTTTTTGGATTTCTTCTGTTGACCAGTGATGAGACAAAGAGTTAAATAACACCTTTGATAATATAGGCCCTATCTTATATTTGTAAACGGTGATAATAAAGGGAGTTATTGGAATATGTTTCTGGTCTGTCAACCATGACAGACACTTTACACACTGTGATTATGTAAAATCAGTCACTTCAATCACCACTTAATTAGTTACTCATCAATAAGGAGATTGATAATAGTAGTCTTTGTCACACAACAATAATGATTAAAGTCAAGTACAACTTTAAAACAAAATCTAATGACCAAAGTCGTTTTTTTTCTTTTCTTATGTTGGGGCAAAAGCTCTAAAGGTTGTCCCTGAATCTTGAATAAACACTACTATTCCTGTTGTTGGATCAAACTGCCACATCTCAGCATCTACCAGCCTTTGTTTTTTAAAATCTGCCATTGACACCAATATAGTCATAGTTCTCTTGAACTATATCATTTGCATAACACTTTCTTTTGTTTTGCTGTTTGCTTTTTTTTTTTAGCTAGCTGCATATGAGCTCCACTTTCTGCAAACTCCCTATTCAACCACACCTACAGGCTATATACTTCACCATGGCAGGTTTAAAGAAAAAAAAAAACACACAAAGTACAAAGTACACACAAATTAAATCACCAGATTAGAATTGCCAAGTCTTTATACACAACATATAAAACCTTGATTTTGTCCTTCATTCAGAAATGCATCCATTTTGTGATGTGTACTGTGTGAAGACATAATACAACAATTTAATTCATTGTTCTGTCTACACTGTTCCCATGAGACCCCTTTAATTAGATGCTTCTGATTAAATTTTACTAACATTCTGCTTCCTAAGACTTTTTCCTCAGTTAAACTCCCAATCTTAACAGAGCCAAAACATTCCCAACACTACCTACTCTTGTTGCTCAGTGAACACAAGTGACCCGACGCCAACCTCTCCGTGAAAAGACCCATTCAAAGCTTTCAGAGGAAGAAGCTTTCATACATCATATACATGCTCTGTTGAGTAGTATAATTAGGTTGAGTAATCCCAAAAGTAAAAACAAATGAGTTGTAATTTCGAAGAAAGACACTTTACCTCAAGAGTTACATTTTTAAAAAGCACCACCTTGACCAGCGACTTTCTGGTATGTTGACTGAAGTCTACCTCAGCCATGAGCACATAGTTTGAACTTGCCTGTTGGCAGCACTCTGATACTTTGGCACCCTGAAACACTGAACCCCGAAGTCTACTAATATGTCATGCAGCTATTTAAAAATGTGTACACATTTCTGTAGTTGGGCAAATATGTGGTGAGTAGTCAGAGTTGGTGACTATGTGTTTACACACTGCCCATAAATCCAGTGAAAATGACTGTTTTCCAGGAACATGCTCCAGCAAGGGGGGTCAGCAGTAGATGGCGCCATTGCAGCTCTTCTGTGCACATCTGTGCTTAATCCTCAGAGTATGGGGCTTGGTGGAGGGTCTATATTAACTATAAGAAATAAAACCGGTGGGTATTCTTAATCAATAGTGTGACTTGGATTTTGTAATAATTATAATGATTAATTGGGCCAATGATTCTAATTGCTGATCTTTTCCCAGGCATTGTCAAAGTCTACAACTTCAGAGAGACCGTCCCACAGTCTTTCAAAACTAACCTGTTAAATGACTGTCCCACCACATTCAGAATGGCCACAGGTAGGCAGAGTTGTCCATGAGTGTACAGTAGCTCATAAAACAGATTTCCTACTCATGTTTCCTCATGTGGTCATTGCAATGTCATCCCAGTAACTCAGAGAAATGTTTTTCTAATGGATCATTCTGGCTCATTTTCAACATAATTTATTGCATTTTAAGTGCCCTCTCACAATGTAGGAGAAATAAGTGGGAAAACTTTACTTTAACCCCCCATATCATTCATCAGCACTATATAAACATTTAATTAATGGTCTACAATGTAGTTGTAAGCACACAGAATGACAAGTCACTTAATTGATTGAAATCACCACCCCTTAAATAAAAGAAAAATCTTAGTGGAGCTCTTGTTTCGTTGCTGAGGTTAGATGTTGTTTTCTAGCGTTAAACATTTTACATATGTAATTACAATTGCTTAACCGATAATATCACCATTTCTATTCCACATACAGTCCAACCAAAGTTCTCATCATTGGTTTCCATCGTTTGTTTAATGCAGCTGCACTGTTTCTCACCTGTACATTGTAGGCAGCCAGTGGATCGGCGTTCCTGGAGAGCTGCGGGGCTACGAGGTAGTTCACAAACAGTATGGGAAGCTGCCTTGGGCCAAGCTGTTTGAGCCAACAATTAGACTGGCCAAGGAGGGCATCCCTATGCCACCATTTCTGGGGAAATTACTGAGTTCCAGCATTGTGAAAGTACACGTGGAGAACTCCTCTCTCTGGTACAACAGCTCACCAACTGTTTAGTGACTGAGAGCTTTTCAAGGTCTCTAAAATGATTATTATGTTAGCAAATATGTTTCTTCAAGACTATCTACTTAATAGCCACAGTTATAATAAATGTTTCATTCAGTGTGTCACTGCCAGAAATCCTGGAGTAAAGAGCTATCCCATAAATCCCCAGTTTAACTCATGCTAGCTTTATGTAACCCCTGGGTCAACTATTGATGTCAGTATTTAACTTTCATGATTTCACATTGCATGATAGTTGTACGCAGCTGATGCACTCAATTGAGCACTTTTTGGATTAGTGAAAATTATTATTATTAATCTGTAACATTTCATGAGCAGGGTTTACTGACCCAGAGATGAAAGCAGTGCTCACCTTCTTTGTGAAATGTTGCTTTTCCCCAATGCAAGATTAGTGTGTGTGGTGTGTGAAAAGAGTGCATTTGTATGCTTCTGTTTATAGTTCCTGAGTTTTTTATATGAATACTTTTTTTTCCCAGTGAAGTTTTCTGTAACAAGAACAAAACGGTTCTAGGCAAAGAAGACATCCTGAAATTTCCTAAACTTGCAGAAACCATGGAAATAATAGCAAAACAAGGGGCGGATGTCTTCTACACTGGCAAGATAGGACATGACTTAATCCAAGATATAAAAGCTACAGGTTTGTACAATTTCACCATAGGCTGGGCAAGCTGTGGGTGTATATTTGAATAGACAACAAATGAAAACACACTTGTTCATAATGTAAAAAAGCAAAGTAGAAAAGCTAATATAATTTAAGATGAACAAGCTGTTTCTATATCCTACATGTTTCTATCAGGTGGGACTTTGCAAATGGAGGATCTGAAGTCCTTTCAGGTGCGAGTGGAAGATGCTTGGAAAGTTCCTCTGGGAAATATTCAGATGCATATCCCTCCACCCCCTGCTGGGGGCGCTCTGCTTGCCTTCATTCTCAGACTAATGAAAGGTTTCATGTCCTGTGTGATGACTTCAATTGACCTATTGTAGCAGTTGCTATACCCTGAATTATGATTAAGTTAAAACAAAAGATTCTAGAGCATAATCATTTTAAAGTTGGTTGTTGTTCTCCTTTATCTGCAGGGTTCCCCTTGACTCCAGACTCCCTGAAGGGTAACCAGAAGATTCAGACGTACCATCGCTTTATAGAGGCAGCAAAATTTGCTAATGGACAAAAGAGGAGCATTAGTGATCCTCTGTTTAATAACAGAAAGGTTGGGATATATTTCATTATTATTAGGACAAAAGATATTATAAGGAAAACAAGTTAATGATTGATTGGAAAAAAATCACATTGAGATGAGAAGCAACTTCACTTTTTTACTACTGTTCTCATCAACCTCGTTTCTAGTCAGAACAGAAATATTATTTGATTATAATGTTAAGAATTGACAGTTGTGTTTTTTAAACGCCAATACTCATATTGTCTGCAGGGAGTGCCGCAGCATCCTACTTTCAATACCTATACTAGCCGGTGAAAATTGTGCATTCAGCTGCTTTCCTCAGCAGTTGATGGAGAGTGAATATTTAACTTACATGTGCCATTAACTCCAAATAAGTGTTACTTCATGTCTGCTGGATGTGTTATTAGTTTAGTTGAGTTTCTGACATTTATTTGCCAGGGACTGTTTATTTTTTAATCTCATACAATGAGAAAATATTATTGTACCAGATTTAGCTACCCGCTGATTTCCATCTGCAGTCACTGGGCAACTCTAATACTGCTAATGCAATTAAATAGTGAACTCTTTGCTAACATGTAGGTTAAGCTGCAGTTCGAATGCAGGTTTAATAAAGAAAAAAATAGTCCACTGTCTTAGTGGTTAAATAAAATGTTTAATATTTTGGGAAAGACATTTATTCGTTTTCTTGCCAAGAGTTAGATGAGTAGTGTGATACCATTCTTGTGTCTGTACATTATATGAAGCTATTGCTAACCCCCAATAAAGGGTCAACATGTGAGTACAGACAATTAAGTGATAACAGTCTGATCAAATAACTCCCGGCAAAATATAACTGCAATATCCCTGGTTCAGTTCTGTCTGTTCTATCTTTGTTGCATGTCTGCTCTCTCTGCATGCTTCCTGTCTTTATCTACTCTGTAACCTGTCCAATTAAGTCAAAAATGGCAAAACATGATATTCTTCTTTCAGAGTGCAGATCATTTGATTGATCCTGCCTTCATTAATCGTGTCAGGGACATGATTTTTTCAAACGGCACCCATGACAACTCCTACTACGATATTGTCAAGCCTTCCTTGGATCACATTGGGACAACACATGTGTCAGTCCTAGATCAAGATGGACTGGCTGTCTCTGCCACCAGCACCATAAACCAACTGTGAGCAAGAAGTCTCTTCAAGCAGAAGATTTCTGTATCTACTTTATATCTAAATATTATATAAAATCTACAACAATATAATATTTATCCGCTCAGTCTACTGTGTTGTGTTTCGTTTTGTAGATTTGGAGGAGCCATTTACTCTCCACGAACAGGCATCATCCTCAACAATGAGCTATCTGACTTCTGTGGGAGAGCAGACACACTGAGGGCAGGTAAAGTCACAGACATAGACATCACCTTTCAAACTAAGGCAATTGAATTAAAGACATTAATTAATTTAGTCATTTAGCCTCTTTTCAGTCTGATATAGAGTATAATTGTTGTCACAGGTGAACAGCCTCCTTCCTCAATGACTCCGGTAATACTGGAGTCAGAGTCTGGAGGACTCCTTGTCATTGGTGGATCAGGAGGAAGCATGATTACCTCAGCAGTGGCCATGGTAGCTCATTTGAACTCTGTTTGTATGCTTGTTTATCTGCTTCTTCATTTGTTTTGTTTACAAGATGCGCTTTTATTTTGGCAGTCTATAATGAATCGCCTGTGGCTGGGGATGAATCTGAGAGAGGCCATTACTGTGCCAATAGTGTTCGTTGATTCCAAGAACAATGTGAATTTTGAGCCTGCTTTTGAAAAGGTGAGGTTCCCATCCTCAATGTCCATTAATGCAACCAAATTCACTTGAGTATGACGGCCTGTCTAATGAATAACATTTCTATTTATGTTAATGGATTCTGACTGAGATTACCAGGACATAATCCTACAAAATCTGATTAAATTTACCTGTAAGTAGTTTTGAAATCTGAAGCGCTAAGGAAAAGTGGTATTAATTTGCAGATGTGTTTTTTGCGTGCCCTCAGTCTGTGAAAGATGGCCTCAGAGCTCTTGGACATAAAGATGGGAACTGGCCATACTTCTTCAATGTTGTCAATGCTGTGGAAAAGGAAAATGGATGCATTGCAGCCGTATCAGACAGCAGGAAGATGGGGATGTCGGCTGGATACTGACCATACAGATCATGAGGAAGCACCAGGTTCCCCCTAAACTCTGCCCTAAAGACTGACTGAATGAACCTTTAGCCTTAAGAAAAATAAATGTGCCGAAACCGGGGGAACAAAATGAGAGCAATTTGGTGCTCAAGCTCTTTCTTGATGGAACTGATGAGCAGTACAATAATATAAAATGGGTCTTATTTTCAGCATTTCTGTTTGTTAGACAAAATTGCACTCACCAAAGTAATTGCAGAGATCTCGGAAATTGGTAACATGGCTCAAAAGAAGTCAGATGGGGCAAGAAACAAAAGAAGTGGTCCAATGATCAGATTATGTAAACCACTTTATTTGGTGGTAAACTCCAAGTAAGAGTTTTCAACACGTACTCATAGAAACGACAGAATAGGTCGATAGTCTACAAAACGACATATATGAACATTCTGTTCCCTATTGCCTTGGTGATGTGCGCAGCTGTAGGGTTAAGCCATTTAAGACATTTTAGAGGAGACATGCCACTCAATCACATCCTCAATACAACTCTATGGGAAAGCCTGTAACGGCAAAGATGGCAGTTATCCCGCCCCTCCCGCTAGAAAGCCTCGTCTGCTTTTAACAGTCAAAGCGGGAATCATAATTCAGCCATTCATTTGGTTCCACTGACGTAAGGGTCTGTTTTACTTCTACTGCGCATGTGTGGAAGAGGTGACGCATGCATAGTAGAAGCGGTCAGGAAAAATGCTTTTTAAACCTTATTTTGGAGCAAAACGTCAAACTTTTTCAGCGACTTTTATCAGATTTTGCTGCTGATTCTAGTCATGTAGCTTTTATGTCCCAGTGACCTGTAAAAGTGCAGTTCTGGCTCTCTCCCCATTCATTAAGATTGGATCCCGGTCTTTTTAGTGGTGTTGCCAAGATGGTGTTCGAGTGGCATGTCTTGCTTAGCTGGCTTGACTTTGGTTAAGCGGTCAACATTCATGCAATCACGGTTTAGGCACACACCCCTGTGATGGTTAGGGTTAGGGTAAGGCGCTTTGCGGGACTGTCAATGCCTTTAACAGTAACATAGCTAGCGCTAATGGTAATTAATGGTGCGTTCCATTTGACATGAGAAGTCAAAGGGAATGCCCCCCTCAGTCGGATTTCTGGCTCGGACAGTTGGGAGAACCGCGCTACCCTTGACTTTGTGATCCAGGAGATGGCTGCTCTGAGTATGAACAGTTAGTGAAGGTTTTGTTTATACTGTTTATTAGCACTTCTGTGTAATTGTGTCTCTTAGGGTTAGGGTTAAATACTTAAATACCGCACAATGCCTTTTTTAACAACCAGAGTTGCTAACAATGGCTAATCTGGCTAGTTGTAAACAATGGGTGGCTGAGCCAGGTTTTCCGATCTGTAACTGGAACGTCGTAAACTTGGGAGCAAAAAACCCCGCTAACACTAGCTAGCTAAGCTAGCAGCATGAAACACTACTAAACTCTACCTATACACTACAAAATGCAAAAAACACCAAAATTATTGCTAACCCTAGCTAGCTAACGCTAATAATACTACAGTAACAAAAACTGATGTTTGCTTTTTGCTTTACACAGGAACCAAACTCCAGTCTCTTAGGTGAAGGTCGCCAAATCATCGTTTTTTCTTGAATGTCCTTTTTAAAAATTTGCGGTGGAATTCAAAGTTGCTGCTTCTCCAATTCCTTCTGTGTGGGCATGGCACCAGCATGGCCCAGCACTTCATGTATGGCCTGCCTCTGGGTGTCTCGTCCCATTTCTCAATCCCGACAAAGACGATTTTTCTTTGCTGCACATAGCAATCCACTTCATCGTTTCCTCGCCAGTGAGCTCATTCTCGCCTTCTGATGGACCACATCTAAGTCCATGTTCATCTGTAGTTCGGCTATTTTCTTCCACAAATCTTGATGGGTTACCATTTTCCTTTTGGCACCTGACTCTATGTGGTACCCCCAGCTCTACCTTTGGAGTCTGGTTCTCTAATTCTTCACCATTGGGACCTTCTGTCTTCTCCATCCTGCTTGGCTGCTATAGGTCATCGTCTGATGCCACTGCCGTAGCCATCTTCTTCATCTTTGTTGTCTCGAGTCGTCTGCTCCTCAAAGCCTCACTTTGGGTCAGGGATGAGTTGCAGACTGGTTGGCTATTCATTAGGGTGACTAGACATCCTGAAAAATTCGGTACTGTCAAGCAGTTGTCCCGACTCCTGTCCCGAAAATTAGACTTAACATGGGTTTTGATTATAGCCTAAAAGTAATAATTGACTGTTGTGTAGTTCTCTTGCTCCAGCAGGGGTTGGAGGTTATCTCTACATTGTGTCAACAGTGTTGTTATAGCCACAAAGTAACGCTCTTGCTCTTTTTCTGTTTCTGGAAAGTGTAGCTTCAAGCAGCCACAGCAGAGAGATCTTCAATTCAATTCAATTCAACATCCAACATGCGTGTTGCGCAGACAGACGTGACACTCACTTTCCTAATGAAAGACAGGTAACTTACTGAACAAAAATAATAAATTTGAGTAATCATGGGGAATGGGACACTGTTTGATTATCTGCCCTGTCAGTCTTCGTTTTAGCAATGTTGTCAGATTCCCAGAACCCTGCAATTAACTTGAAAGAGTGACTGACAGAAATGATGGACAAAAGTACAAAAATAAGACCCAAGTTATAAGCTGGACTTATCCTTTGAGCTTAATGGACCACTGCATATATATATATATATACATTTTCAGTCGTCACACACACTCATCCTGATGTCATACCACATAGATGATGTAAACTAACGAACAGTAAGCACACCATGAGGCAGCTAGATAATTGCTGAGATCTGCTTTTATGAGGATTACACACTAACCGAAGTGTAAGGTGTCTGCAAAAGCGAGCCATTAAAGCAAATCTATTGTAGTTCAACACAAAACAAAACCAGACGCTGTTTCATTAATATTAATGAATCTTTTATTTTCTGACTGAACTGTGTAATTTTCTATGAAAGAGCTTTTTGTAAATGAGTCTGAACTTTCAAAATGACATCCTGCCAATTGAACCTGCCCAAACAGAACTTTTACTGTGACTTTTTTTTTACTGAGATTTTACTGCATGTGAAACAGCCTTAATCTGGTTCCAGAGCATATTGTGATCTTTGTTGAAAGATTAGGGAAATGCTGTAAAATCTCTTTAAAATTAACTTCAAAATTAACAAAATGATATAAAAAACTTGCTTATATTTTCTTACCACAGTGTAATTTTGTATTTTCTGTTTTAATATGTGAAAATGTTTTGTAAATTTGTATCTACATTTTTTACTGTGAATATCTGTGTTTTCACAATAAAACACAATGCCCAAATAAGGTGAGCAATCGCTGAGTCTCTTCACCAGATATCACATACACATATCATTGCTTGAATGCATGCTTTGTTAACCCAAACATCTTCAATACGCTTTTCACTGTAAACTACAGTTCTTTAAACATCAATCCTTTGTTGTTAGTATAGTATGATCAGCAATAATCTGCTTCATGTTTTCCTGTTTGCCTTGTTTTAGAGCAGCACATTTGCACTGAGACAAAGGAAGCATTAATGAGATACAATTCAGTAGAGAGACTTATGAATTAGTAATGATTTCTTAAGTGGATTCTGCCCCGTTTTCCTTTGAGGCGCTAGATGTGAGTTATGAGAACATGCAAATTTTAGACAGTGTGAAGCAACGCTGTCTTTGTTGTATGACAAATGAGTTAATCTAGATAAATTGAGACTTCATAGCTTTCGTGTCATGATATTAACAGCCATTTAAAGTAAACACCTGTTTACAATATGCAGAAAATGTCTCTCCACTAATAGTCTTTCACGCAAAGCAAAAACAGTAAAATAATCCTGTGGTGAAGCAAATGATATCAACAGTAGTTATTTTGATGTTATTATTTATGCATTCTGTTTGTGTGCATCATTATTTGTAACATAAGGCCATGCAATGCAGTGGATCGAATTAAAACCATGTAGGCATTGATATGCACAGAGACTTGAGATCTTTTCATGCCTAAAGGGTGAGTAAATTGGCTTGTCTGAGTTGCATAACTCTGAAGTTCATTATAACTATGTGGAAGTAAGATTGTGCTTTATTGGGCCTTAAAGGAAAACTCCAGTGTGACTTGCTCATTTTTTGCATTTGCCACCTCCTTGCAAATAGATGTTATCACACCATGTTATACAATTAAAGATATTTTAAAATTACTTTTATGGGAATTCCTGGTAGCCTAGACGACTAAAACGCATGCCATATAATATTAATATATGCGGTGTGAATCTCCCCTCTCCCGCCTCATTTACTGTCAGTCTCTGCCTACTACTGTCAATGAAGGCAAAAATACCAAAACAACTGTACTGAACACTGTACAAAGTTCAGCCCGATTTCAGTTAGATTTGATGGAAAACACTCTGCTACAGTATGTGAGCTATCTCTAAAAATCTTAATTAATATTACAAAACCAAAAGTAGCACGACAGAAGGAGGTCGTGGTGATGGAGGTAGCTGCTCCACCAGATGTTATTAGCATGAGTGTATCAGCAGAGTAATATTGAGGTGTCAGGCTAATTGCTGTGTACCTGAATATGACTGGGTGTTACAAGTTATCTGGTAGCCACAAAGCTGGTGAATGAGCCACTGATTCTGAAGCATGAAATAAACAGCTGATGTCAGTCAGTTATATACTGTATGTAACTTCAGTGCTTTGCCTGAACAAATGCATTCACTGTTTAATTAATTAATTAATTAATTCAACAATTAGGGTGCTCCATTAGGAACACAACAAAAGAAAAAGAATGTCTTATTTCTGTATTTTTATTTCTCATATAAACTTTTGTTTAGCCATGCTAGCGGTATGACTCTATGACTCTGTCAGTTGGTCTACCTCTGGTAGCATTTAGATCAAAAGTACAGCTGAGCCTAAAGTCTCAGAGCCAATAGCATGGTAGGACTCCAGTGGCTTTCATACGTCAAACAAACAACAGTTAAGCCAACAGATACAGTAAGTAAGAAAGCTTCTGCCGGGTAGTCTGTAAAAATAGTTGTAATTAAAGCCTGAGACAAAGACCCCAAATACTTTTATATAGTAACTGTGTTTAATAATTAAAGTATGTTCATTTCTAGAGTTTATTTTGAAAAATAAATAAATTACTGTACCAATTTGCTAAAAGCAAGACATACATTAATGTTAGAATTGACAAATAAAGGATCCATTCACATTGAGATTGCCCTTCATTTTAATTCTTTAATAAATACTTGTCTAGTAAGAATTGTTGTATGACAAAAAAAAAAGTTAATAATTATAACACAGTCAAATCCGAACCAGTCATCTGCAGCCAAACATTAATGAAGGCATTATAATTTAACACTTTCATACATTTCAGTAATTATGTAATACCATTTACATTCCAGCTGAGAGAAGAGCCCTGAGTCCCAACTGTGACAGTGAGCAGAAACAGCTGTACCATTGTTGTGGGGTCATTAATTGCCATTGCACTGTGGGTTGTGGGAAATTACTGTAAGTTATTATTAAGTAGGACTGCTTGTCCCTCAGGTGTAACAGTCCTTTATTTTAATAGCAGCTCCTGCCTGTGCTTACTCTGTTTGATGCCACCTCGTATGAGCAGTCCTGGTAAAATATCTTATTGTTTTTTTTAAATGACTGAAAAAATTATATTTGAGGCCTCCGTTTAGTTTTTGTTGATTTATTTCAGTGGATATTTCCTTAACCAAGAGTTCAATCGTTAGTTATTACCGTAGTCATCACATATCATATCTTTATTGGACAACAACAGCAACAGGAAACAGCTCTGCAGTGCTAATGATTTACAAATGTGGTTCATAAATTGGTAGGAATGTACACAATTATGACTGTTTGACAATTTTACCATTTCCAGGTCTGATATCCTTTTTCAATTTCAACCTTATAAGCAGAGAATGATGGTAAAATATTGTGAATTTCTTAATTACATGAAATGATGATGATGTGACATGTAAATGCAATGTAGAGTCAATATTCACAATTAATTTCAGAGTGAGGCACTTTCAAGGGAGCAACAAGTCAATGCTCTGTTATCTGAGTTGTGTGTTATGAAGTACATGAATGTTATTCAAACTTACTGACAGAACAATTGGTTCCCCAGATAGCTGACGATGGTTCCTGGTTCTTTATTAAGTCTCCAATCTCATACCACTGGTGTCAAGGATTACACAGCTACAGTCTCTCTGCATAATCAGAGGTGTATTTATGACCTCAGTACCCTGCAGCGTACGCCCACTTGCGAGGATCAGACTGAGCATGGAGTCCGTCATCATGGCGTACCACCGCCTGCACCACAGCTCCTGTTGATTTGAGGAACTCTGTCTCGTGGTTCTTTAATGCCAAACCATCCAGGATGTTCTGTGAACAGGAGCATATATGAACAACGCTGTGTTTGCTTATAAAATGCTTTATCTACGACAATGTATTAAGGTCACTGTAGGTTCAAAGACCAACAGCATAAAAAATTATGGAAGAATTGCAGAAATTTATAAATTACTAAGATGGGACACATGCTTTCAAGTGGCTTTGATGCAGTCACTGATATCTCGATCAATGTGATGCCAAGATCATGTTCGGTCGAGTGGTAACATCAAAACAACTGTATACTGTAGCATTGCTAACAGGTACAAACAAGAATTTTAGTTTGGTGGAAACAAATATCATATCATAAGATCATTATTAATGCTTTTTGGAGCATCACATTACTTTACATCAGGAAGTAAGTGTAGGAAAGAGTATTATTTAGAGGATCTTTATCACATGTAGCCTGCAAGGAGGTGTGGACCTTTTCTATTTATTTCCCTCAATGGTATATGTAAAAGATAAACAACCTCTTTTAATACATCCTATAATGAACCAGCCTTGCTTTCATTTTGTTATCAAAGGCCTTTTTACATTATACTCATCCCTGAGTATAAATCTAATGAACAGTGTCCCAGTCCTGGTCATGACTCAGGTATAAGGGCTCAGTGTTAGCTGGGCTTTTGGGTGAAGGACTATCTCCCTACACGCCACAACACCATGCTATTAGTCACAAATATCAGTATTGTTTACTAATTTGTGACACTCACTTTGTCAAAGCCAGGCTCTGCTACAGTGATGTTGGGACTCAGCTGGTTGTGGATCCTTGGATCTGACACGGCTTTATTCAGATCGTAGTTGAAGAACAGTGCATTCAGAATCACCTACAAAACAGCCAACATTTCCGCCAAGAGATTATCAATTACAGTTCTTAGCCATAGTACATAATACATTAATTTAAAAAATACTTTAAAAGGTTCCAACAGCAGTATCAGCATCTGACCATGGCTTGTGTCTTACCTGAGCGACAGAAGTAGTGATTTTTGTACCTCCCGAGCCTCCGACCACCATCTTAACTTTGTTGTTTTTGTCAAGGAGGATGGCTGGGCACATAGAAGACATTGGCCTTTTTCCTTTTAACAGAATTTAATAGTAGTTTTAAGTTAACAGAGCAGTAGAATGAAACAATGTCCTTTGCAGTCCCTGTAAAATGTATTCACGCCCTTTGGAAGTTTTTATATTCTATTGTGTCAACACTGAATCAAACAAGATTTAATGGATTTATATTCACTTTGTAGAGATCTGTTTCCACTTTCAAAATGTAAAAAGAACCCACACATTAAATCTATGTTGGCTCAATGCTGTAAAACAACAAAAGATGTAACCTTCCAAAAGTTAGTGAAGACATTTGATCAACTCTATATTTTTTAGTAGTAATGCACAAAAAACATAATGTACAGAATCAAGGACAGGTCACATTCTGCATGACTTTATCCTTAAGATTGCTATTCTTCAGCCTAATGTTGAACAGCCAATCTATATTACAATTTTACTGCTTTTGAGAACCCTTAAGTGTGTTTCTGTGTGTGTGGATCTGATTTGTGCTGCCTTTCAGACTAAAGACCAGTTAAGTAGTGTGAGTGTGTGTGTGTGTTGGGGGGGGGGTATTAATCTAACCTGGCCTGATGAAGTTGTTTGGTGAAGGAGGCACTCCAAACCCGTTTGTGATAAGCGGGGAGCTGAAGTCGTCCATCTCATCATTAAGAAGTATCCCTGTCGATCTTGACATGACTTTGGAGCCAAAACTGCAGGAAAATGTTAACCAGTAAGATATCATGGGAGTTTTTTGGTACAACATAGGTAAAAGTCTTGGTCAGTTAGGAGGTCATACTATTGGTTGATGGTGCTGGTGGCGGCCACAGCACTTCCATCTTCTGCTACTACGGAGATGTGTGCAGTCCCATAGTTTTCAGGCAGGTAAAACTC